CAGATCAGGAGCTCCGAACTGCTTTCAGGTCCTTGAAGACGACGAGATAGTCGAAACGTCGACCAAATAAAGCGGTCTCTACCGTAACAAACCTGCACGGCAAAACACTGCAAAACATTATGCAACATGCCCAGGTTTCAAGAAGACCGAACGTGGACGTACTCAAGCTCGCTTCAAATATCTTTAATATGTAATTCAATCTTCACCAGAAAAACACTTTGCCCTGGATTCATGATTTCAAGATCCTACCCTAAGAAACCAGAGGATGCTTATACCAAGAAATCACTCTCCCATAACTGAGGTTATAGGCTCGTTCACAGCGAACCGTTGCTTGGAGAGCGAGCCATGCGGCGTGATCGATCAGACCGGAGTCTCCTGCCAGCTCGCTAATGCTCGGGACCATTTGCCACACGTATATGGTGGGTCTTGACTGCCCCGGTGCCCTTACGTCCTCTTACGAGATGGTACTGCTTCCGCAGTGCGCTTTAACCCTACATCAAGGCATTGGTCGTGCGGTCCTTCAAGGGTCGTGCGGTCCTCTCGCGATCCTCTTACATGTCCTTGCGCACAGAACACCTCAGAGATACATTATGGCGAATGACGACGATAACACTATTTGCACACTACGCACACATGGACGAATTATATAAGTTTCTGACTGACTAAGTATATGATGGTAAAGTAAACAACTGATTACGATAAATGCGAGTGAATGCTTTCGACCACCATTACACGAAATGCTCTAAAAAAGGAATAAAGTATTCTTATTATATATAAAACGCTCTGTCTCTCTGTCTGTCTGTCTGTCTGTCTGTTTGTTTGTTTGTTTGTTTGTTTGTTTGTACGGAAATTCGATATAACGTGAAGAAACACCTGGAGAGGTCGGGTCAAGTTTGGAATGGGTTGAGCATAGGGTAAGTGCAACAGAGCACATGTGAGCATAGCGAAGCTCCTCCCCCAAGGGGCGGGGCATGTACCGGAATGGGCATGGGCAACCGGTCATTGGCAAATTCTTCCCATTCGGTCTCAAAACACTCCAGACGCCGGGAAAAAATGTGCAAAGGTGAGGGATGGGCGAGGCGTGCGTTGAGGTGAAAGCTACTTTTACCTCAACGCACGCCTCGCCTTGATAACTCGATTCAGCGAGGGCGTCGTGGCCAGGAAAAAAAATAAAAAGAGTGAGCAAGGCCTTATGAGTGCTGGGCATGCGTAAGCTGAGAGAAGCCCCGCCCACGATGGGCGGGGCGTGCGTTGAGGTGAGAGCTACTTTTCGAAAATGGGTGTAACTTCGTTCGGAAACATTCTAGAATGCGGAAAAAAAAGTGGATAGAGGTAATGGGACAAATATGGCCGAATCCTCGAAGTGGGCGGGGTCGGCACCAAAGTGGGCTGAGCTTAGATCAAAAATTCATAACTCTGTTCAGAACCTTCTAGAACGCGGGAAAGAAGTGGTTAGAGGTAATGGAACAAATGTGGTAGGACCTCCAAAGTGGGCGTGGTTGGCACCAAAGTGGGCGGGGCTCAGATAAAGAACTCATAACTTTGCTCAGAGACGTTCTAAAATAGGGGAAAAAAGTGGTCAGAGGTAATGAAACAAGTGTGATCAAACCCCCAAAATGGGCGGGGTTAGCACCAAAGTGGGTGGGGCTTAGATCAAAAATTCATAACCCTGTTCAGAAACGTTCTAGAACGCGGGAAATATGGTTAGGAACAGTCAAAAGAAGGGTGGTCAAGTTTGTAGTGGAGGGGTTTGCACTAAGGTGGACGGAGCTATGATCAACCACTAATAACTCTGCTCAAATATATTGAGCGCAATGCTCTCAGCAGTTCAGCGTTCGAATCTGGAGAGAACTACCTTATTCTGATTATCTAAATTCCGCTAAATGACTCCTTCGTGCATAAGTGGCCGCCGACATATACTGCACGCGCTAGCGTGCATAGCCAAACTGGTATGCATATATATTACACCACATATAGACATTACACCGAACTTACGGTGGCGTACGATCCTGCTCACTCTTAAGTCAGGCCATTAAGTCCTCCCAATGTCCTGGCACTGCTGCTTTTCCGTTCATCCTTGACTGCGAGCCACTCCTTACATGAGGTTGGCTACGACAGCAGTGCACCAATAGTAAATGGCAACAGGGTTGTGTTTTGGGTGCGTCTAGAGGGTTGATGTTAAATGCGCATAAGATGAGGAAGATGACCAGACTCCTGCGACGGTGACGTTGACGAAAATGAGTGATGCAATCATTGCCATGAGCGGCCAGAGTCCGTGGCTAAGCACGGCGACGTGGCGTCCCCTCGTTTTCTGCAGCATACTATAAATTCCGGGCGGGACCGAAATGCTCGCCACGCAAGCCGTTCTATGAAGTCGTACAGGATGCACGACACTTTGGCAGGTTCCTTTAAATCCGAGCATGCGAACCTCCCACTGTTTCCTAACTTGCAATTTTGCAAATTCTCTTTATGATTAGTGAGGAATGCATTTCAAAACCTGATTTCTCTGATTGAATGCTTATCCAACACGCAAACAGTGAAATTCAGAGACGGCATGCTTATTTTGTTTGCGAGCAATGAGATGCCAGAATAGGGCGAGATAAATCTTATAACGAACCTGTACTCGCCCTTTTGACTGGACGCAAATACGATCGGACATTGTTTCAGCTGCAGAAACAGCCCAGCATGAGCCTGTAATGAATATCTTACATAGGGACCAAAGGTAAAGCCAGGGTGAACAAATTTGGTGGCTTTTCCTAATGTAATACGAATCTTACGTCTGGGGAGGAAACATGGAGACGTC